ACTTCTATTAGCTAAAATAATCTTTTTATCAATTAACTTCTCAATTTCTTTAAAATCTTCATTTTGTATACAAGTATAGCACTCTTGATAGATTTTATCACATTTTTTTAATATTTTTAAAGATCTTAAACTTAAATCATCACAATTGTTAAGTCCAATACCAATTATATAAAGCATTCTGAAAGGATAAAAAAATTTAAAAATAATTTAATCATTTTACTTAAGCTGTGCTTGATTAGGATAAGAATAAGTAGGAAATGTTGATTGAATAGATTTTGCAAATAAACACATTGCAGGTTCTCCACCATAACCAATTGTATTACCAACACTTGGACTATTAAAGATCGGATTATAACCAATTATTGTACCATCTGGACCTCTTACAACATCAAGACCAACATTATAAACACCAAAATCATTTAGAAGGAATGGATTAGGATTACTTACAAGTTCACTGAAAGCTCTAGCCATTTCATTAATCATAGGATTTGTCTTGTCCCCAAATACTTGTTTTATTTTAGGATACCACTTACTGAGATTATCAGCAAGTCCCAAACAGTTTTGAGAATCGTTATTATTAAGATTAGAAAGTTTTGTAAACGAATCAACCACTCCACTCATATCAGCAGGTGTGAGATCATCAAGATTCTTTAAATAAGTAGATTTAGGAATTCCCAATCTCTGAGCTCTCTCTTCAGGATTTTTATGTAACTGATCTCTTAATAACTTTGGGAAGTCGTTATAATCACGTGATGGATGAAGTTGCTTATTACTTGGATCCACTTCAGATTCACCATTTTCTTTAACATCCTTCAATAATGGAATTTCATGATTTGTTATTGGACTAGTATCTGAAAATCCTACAGTAGATTTCTTAGGAGCATCTGGGCCACTTCCAAATGTAATTGTAGTAGTTGTTGTTGTACTTGAAGAACCATCTCCAGTTTTTGTACCTGGTTCACCTCCACCACCAATTATAGTGGTAGTTGTTTCACTTGAACTACCTCCACCTGTTGTACTTGAACCACCACCTGATGTTAAACCTGATCCACCCCCCCCTTCAATTGTTGTTGTAGTTGTGGTAGTTTCAACATCTGACATCTCTTTTTGTATAGCATTTTCTTCTTTCTCTTTCTCCTTCTCTTTTTCTTGCTCACTTATAACATTTGAAATTACTTCTTGTTCATATATTTCCTTAGGATCAGTACTAGTTATTTTCTCTCTCCTTGCTACATCAAATTCAAAATCTTTTGTTTCTGTAATTTCTTTATCTAAACGACTTTCTCCTATTTGTTCTTTAGCTTCTTCTGGTGTTAAAATTTGTGAAATTCCAAACGGTGCTTTTGTTCTAACAACTTCTGATCCATCTGTAGACAATGACTTAGTTACTGTGGTTTGACTATCATCACTTTCCTTTTGTGCTACATCTCTAATTTCTTCCATTTCTTCATTGGTTAGTGTTTGAAATGATGGTGGTGTTACTTTCTCAGGTGTTGTCACTACTGGTTTCTTAAAATCTGTTGCATATGTTCCCCATGGTGTTCCTCTTGATTCTCCCTTTTCTATTTCTATACTTGATGCTTTTGAAAGATCAATTACTTCATTAGGATTTCTTCCTATTAATGTTTTCACCATTTCTCCATCCTTTGCTACTTGAATTTCTAAAGGATCTTCAATTGTTGCTTTATATATTGCTCTACCTGTTTCTTTATCTATATCTTCTACAAATGCTGACATATCTTTACCTGCATCTACTTCTTCCTGGTAACTTTCTGGTGACATGTATATCGTTCCTTTTTCTACTACTAATTTATCAAAGTTTGGTCCCAAATTCAAATAATCTTTTTCTCCATCTCCCATTGTTTCATATGAAATTATTTGTCCTGAATTTGGTTTTACTGATGTTATTGTATTTCTTGTTGCTTCTTCCATTGCATTTTTATAATCAACTATTTCCTGTTCTTCATCTGTACGTGGTGAAAAGTGTGTTGGATGTTCTATTGGTAACTTTAATACTCTATTTTCTATTTTCTCTACTCCAGAACTATCTTTCACATCATAAATAACTCCTGCTTCTTCTTTTGGATCTGTTTGTTTCTTAATTTCCTTCATTGCTTCTTCTTCTGCCTCTATGTGATTCTGATCAATTATTCTATCAACTGTTGAGGGTGTTTCCATAAAATCAGATTTATGTGCCTTAGCTGCATGTGGTGCAAATTCCTTATCATGTTTAACATTCCTCAATTGATCCTCAATCACTTTTTCATTCTTACTATCTTCATCATCATATGCAGCCCTTATGGTTTGTTCAGTTATTTCTGCTTCTTTTCTTGCCTCTACCGGATCTCCTCCTGCTGCTAGTACATTTGTAGTTGCCTTTTCCATAGCTGTATCTATATAATCCTGTCTTTTTTGTTCTACACCAGCTTCTTCATGTGCCCTTACTTCAATATCTTCATCTTGTATTTTATCAAACACGTCTTGATCAGTTTCAATATTTCCTTTTGTTCCTTCTTGCTCTTCTTCTCGTTTCTTTTCAATTTCTATTCTAGCTTCTTCTTTAGCTTTTTCTATTATTAGATTCCTTTCTTCATAATCTTGAATTTGATTTGCTAAATTTTCATTTATTATCTTCCTTATACTTTCATCCTTTGCTGCATCTTCTATAAACTTAGATGCTGTCTGTACATATTCTTCTACTGGGCTTTTCATCATACTATCAATTCTTTGCAACTCACTATTTTCTGCAATTTGTTTTTGAAGTTCTGGACTTACTTTAACTATTGATGGTGTATTATCATCAATTTTCTGTTTTAACAATGCCA